TTGTAATTTAAGGTTTTGCCTAGCGGGGATTCTCTATGTTTTGAATCTGATTACCCTGGAAGATATTTACCATCCTGATTTTACAGAGGTGATTCTTTTACTTTTTCTTCTATTAAAATTCTTCTTTTAAGAACCTGATTGCTTTTTCATTGTTCTTAAGATCCAAGGGTTTGGGTCTGTGTTCACCTATGCAAATTGGTGAGGATTTTTATCAAACCTTCCCCAGGAAAGGGGGTGTAGGGTTTGGGAGGATTTTGGGGGGAAAAGACGTTTCCAAGCGGGCTCTTTCCCGGTTATACATCTGTTAGACGTTTGGTGGTGGCAGTGATAAAGTACAAGGGCAAAAGGTAAAATAGTTTGTACCTTGGGGAAGTTTTAACCTAAGCTGGTAAAAATAAGCTTAGGAGGTTTTCATGCAGGTCCCCACATCTGTACCCTAGAGTTCAGAGTGGGGAAGGAACCTTGACAAGGTGCTTGGCTGGTGGGTTCTTGCTCTCATGCTCAGGATCTAACTGATTGCTGTTTGTAAGGTCGGGAAGGAATTTTCCTCCAGGTCAGATTGGCAGTGACCTGGGGGGATTTTTGCCTTCCTCTGCATCATGTGGGTGTGGTCACTTGCCAGGATTAATCATTTCCCTGCCATTTCAGGGGCCTTGGGCACTGGTGCACCTCAGTCCCTTGTCTTCTTTACCTGTGATGCATAATAGTCTAGTCTCCTGTGAGCTGTAATACTTTGGCCTAATTTCAGATGTTGGGTTTAGTGTGCGGGGCGCTGGGTGACATTGGTGGGATGTGATATACAGAAGGTCAGACCAGATGATGTGGTGGTCCCTTTTGGCATTAAACTCTATGATTCAAGATGTCATGAGATGATCTTAAAATATTTACAAAGCACCTAGAGGCCTGGTTCAGTCGAGAAGTTTTGGTTATACTTTGCTGGCCAATGCTAAATGCTGTTGTTCATCTTTCTTCATATCCAGGACAAATGAATGAAGAACTTGGAATTTCTCTGGGGATGAAGCTTGGGAAAAAATTTGGTGCAACATAAAGTGCACTTCACCTTCACCTAACTGTTACCTAACACAAAACAAAGTATTGAGTAGATTCTATTGGACAAGACCCTCTTGTACTCAAATAAATAAAATATCTTTCTGAAAAAACTGTCATGATTTTTGCCTGTCTGTACGTCTCTCTCTATCCTATGCTCATCAAGAGGGTATCTCAGTGTATATGACTCCTGGCATGTAGCCAGATTGTCTCATCTTTGGAGGAGGGTAAAAAGTCCACTGGAACTTCTGTGAGGTTCTTTGTGCAGGGAATCTTCCTTATCCACCTCTGAAGAGGGAGGGGTTTTCAGTTTTGCAATGAAGACAAAAGAATGGTCTGGACACCATACGAAGCAAAGGCTCTCTAGGGAAATAAGATTCACTCCCCCCAGACCTATGCACCCAGGGACATCACCGAAGGAAATGATTCTTCAGTGATGCTCCTGGCCTCCCATTCCCTGTTGAGAAGCTGTGCTGCATTTGACTGTCATCCCTCACCAGTACACTATGCTTCATCCAAGGGGAGCAGCAGAAGTTAATGCCACATGTCAACCACAGTGCCTCCAGAAAGTCAGTTCAGCCCTGTGAAGTAGTGGGAGCAATAAAGGGAGGGTCAAATCACTTGATCATCACTAATCTGTACAACACTAGTTACATTCTACTCTAAGAACATAAGAATGGCCATACTGGGTTAGACCAAAGGTCCATCTAGCCCAGTATCCTGTCTTCCAACAGTGGCCAATGCCTGGTGGCCCAGAGGGAATGAACAGAAGAGGTAATCATCAAGTGATCCATCCCATCGCCCATTCCCAGCTTCTGGCAAACAGAGGCTAGGGACACCATCCCTGCCCATCCTGGCTAATAGCCATTGATGGACCTATCCTCCATGAATGTATCTAGTTCTTTTTTGAACCCTGTTATAGTCTTGGCCTTCACAACATCCTCTGGCAAAAAGTGCCCGGAGCAGGGGATGCCAGGCCCAGTTCAGAGCTAGCCAGGCCAGGACCACAGGGCCAAGTAGGAACAAGTCAGCGGCAGGCCCTGCTTTGCACCACCCGGAGGGAACCTGGCAGCAGCAGCGAGAACCAGACGAACAGAGCCCTGCTCTGCCCGAGAGACACCCAGCGCAAAGCATTAGCTAATCCAAAGCCCAGCTGAGCAGTATCTCCTGGGCTGCCAGGCTCAGCCGTCAAGATCTCTCCCCTCTCTAGCACTCCTTGGCCACCCCACCCCGCTGCGCTCAGCCTTCTGTTCCCCGCAGGAGCCAGCTGCTCTCCGCCTGCAAGCCCAGGGACCCCTTGCTGATGCGCCATGGTCTCCTGGATAATCTGCCGCGTGGTAGTGCTGGTCTTTGGGATGCTCTATCCGGCCTATGCCTCCTACAAGGCAGTGAAAACCAAGAACATCCCGGAATACGTCTGCTGGATGATGTACTGGATTGTGTTCACAGTTGACTGTGCATTGTGTGAAAAAAATACTGCCTTTTCTTTGTTTTAAACCTGCTGCCCATTAATTTCATTGGGTGACCCCTAGTTCTTGTGTTATGAAAAGGAGTAACTAACACGTCCAAATTTACTTTCTCTACACCAGTCATGATTTTATAGACCTCTATCATATCTCCCCTTAGTCATCTCTTTTCCAAGCTGGAAAGTCCCAGTCTTATTAATCTCTCCTCATACGGCAGCCGTTCCATACCCCTAATTATTTTTGTTGCCCTTTTCTGAACCTTTTCCAAGTCCAATATATCTTTTTTTCAGATGAGGCGACCACATCTGCACGCAGTATTCAAGATGTGGGCATACCATGGATTTATATAGAGGCAATATGATATTTTCTGTCTTATTATCTATCCCTTTCTTAATAATTCCCAACATTCCGTTCGCTTTTTTGACTGCCACTGAACTTTGAGTGGATGTTTTCAGAGAACTATTCACAATGACTCCAAGATCTCTTTCTTGAGTGGTAACAGCTAATTTAGATCTTGTCCTGAGGTGACATGTACCCAGTCAATATGGGGATAGTTGAAATTCCCCACTGTTATTGAGTTTTTTATTTTAATAGCCTCTCTAATCTCCCTGAGCATTTCACAGTCACTATCCCCATCCTGGTCAGATGGTCGGTAATATATCCCTACTGCTATATTCTTATTATTCAAGCATGAAATTACTATCCATAGAGATTCTATGGTACAGTTCGGTTCATTTAAGATTTTTACTTCATTTGATTCTACGCTTTCTTTCACACATAGTGCAACTCCCCAACCAGCACGACCTGGTCTGTCCTTCTGATATATTTTGTACCCTGGTATTATGTGTCCCATTGGTTATCCTCATTCCACCAAGTTTCTGTGATGCCTATTATGGCAATATCCTCATTTAAGACGAGGCACTCTAGTTTTCCCATCTTATTATTTAGACTTCAAGCATTGGTATATAAGCACTTTAAAAACTTGTCACTTTTTAGCTGCCTGCCATTACATGATGTAATTGAATGTGACTTTTTTCATTTGACTGTTTCTCATCAGATCCTACCTGTATTTTATCATCTTCCATCCTCTCCTCCTTATTAGGACATAGAGAATCTCCATTTATAGTTCCTCCCTTAAGGGATATCGGAACCACGTGCTCCTCTGCACCTGTCGGCTTTCCTCCAGCCCTTAGTTTAAAAACTGCTCTACGACCTTTTTAATTTTAAGTGCCAGCAATCTGGCTCCCTTTTGGTTTAGGTGGAGCCCATCCTTCCTGTATAGGCTCCTCCTTTCCGCAAAGTTTTCCCAGTTCCTAATAAATCTAAACCCCTCCTACATACACCATCATCTCATCCACACTTTGAGACTCTGCAGTTCTGTCTAACTGGCCCTGTGCGTGGAACTGGAAGCATTTCAGAGAACGCTACCAAGGAGGTCCTGGACTTCAATCTCTTACCTAGCAGCCTAAATTTGGCCTTCAGGATCTCTCTCGTATCCTTCTCTATTTCACTGATACCTACATGTACCATAACCACCGGCTTCTCCCCAGCACTACACATAAGCCTATCTAGATGTCTCAAGAGATCCGCAATGTTTGCACCAGGCAGACTCATCACCATGCAGTTCTCCCGGTCTTCGCAAACCCAGCTATCTATGTTTTTAATGATCAAATCGCCCATTACTAATACCTGTCTCTTCCTAATAACTGGAGTTCCCTCCCCTGGAGAGGTATCCTCAGTGCGAGAGGATACCACAACATCATCTGGAAGGAGGGTCTCAACTATGGGATCGTTTCCCTCTGCTCCAGTTGGATGTTCTCCTTCCCTGAGACGTTCATCCTCCTCAACAGCACAGAGGCTGTCAGACCAGGGGTGGGACCATTCTACTGTGTCCCGGAAAGTCTCATCTAGGTACTTCTCTAGCTCCTTCAGCTCAGTCACCCTGGCCTCCAAAGCCTGTACATGGTCTCTGAGGGCCAGGAGCTCCTTGCACCAAATGCACACATACGTTACCTGCTCATAGGGCAGGTAATCATACATGCTGCATTAGGTGCAATAAACTGGGTAGCCCCCACTCTGTTGCTGGACTTCTGCCTGCTTTCTCTTTTTACTGCTGCAGCTGGTTTCTTTCTTGTTGTTTTCTTTTTACCATGGGATGTTTTTTAGCTTAAGTTTAAAGAAGTTCAAGGAATGTTAAGTATGCAGCACCCCCACACCCCCGTAAACTTCCTCACAAAACTCCGCTGTTCGCTAGCTCCTCTGGTCGCTTAGGAGCATGCTTTTTAAAGCCATGGTCTTCCTGAGTAGCCCCGCCCCCTGGTTCAAGGTTTATGGGTGCTAAAGGGCTTAGGGATCAAAGCCTCGTTAAGAAGCTCTCAGCCTTGCCTAGCAGGCCGCTTGGCTCAGCACCCACACAGTCAGCACACTGTCCCTCAAACAAACAGACCACAAGCAAACACAAACACACACACACAACAACAAACTTACCCTAAGGGTCATGTAATCGCTCCTTCTTCACCTGGAGAAGTCCCTCGCAAAATTCCTCTGTTAGCTGCTCCTGTTCACTAGCTCCTAGTAAGCTTCTTCTTCAGCTATGATCCACCAAACCAGATAGTATTAAAAAAAGGTTGCCATCAAACTAATATTTAAAGATGCATTTGTAAACTCGTTTGACAGTCCTGTTAATCGTACAAAATAAATTGCATGTGTTTTAAAACAACAGGCCAGACCCTCAGCCAGTGTAAATCAGTACAAGTTCATTTACTTCCATGCAGCTACTTTTATTTACACCAGGTGACATTGTGGCCCAAATTTGCTAAGTCTAGGTAGTATCGGTAACTATTCCTTGCTAATAAACTGTTGCATTTCCAAACTACTTCATCAGTAATTTAATAGTGTTGTTCTTTAACAATTGGGTTCTGTTACATTTTTATATTTAGAGCATGATTATTTAATGTAATTTAATTGGTTTCCTTACTCCCCATAGGGATCTGGACCTAGAAAGTTCAAATTAAATACTCTAATTGCTCTGAAATTCACTTGTCTAAAATGTGCTTCTTTTTCAAATGTACTCTCATATCTAGTTCAGACATATTTTTTCTTTCACGAAGCAGGAAAATTCTGGTGCCCATAATTTGCATTTAAAAAGAGTCAATAATTAACCAAAATAATAATTATAGATATAAGACAGGGAGAATGCTGCACAACAAACTGTGAGCTAAAAATCTATAAATAAGGCTATGAACACACATCAAAGGTTTCTATATACATGCTACTTCCAAGAGCAAAGCTCAAGTGGCTAATGATTGCATCAGAACCTTGAGATGTGTGTACAGGTCCTTTGAAAATGTATACAACAGATTTTATTTTTTGTAATACTGTTTAAACAAAAGTAGCAGAGAACACTTCATGGCTTCATTTTACTCATTTGGTGGAATCCTGCTCCTAATGAATGAGGAGTGGGGGCTTGCATTGAAGCCAATGTTAAGGCTCTGTCTTCAACCTTAGGCAGAATTTGGCCTTATAAATCAAATGCAAATAAACTGTGTCAGTTACCACATCACCCACAATGCGTTCTCATGTGATGTGTGAAGTAAAGAATGGAACCACCAAGAGCAACCACAGCTCAGGAGCAGAAGGAATGGAAACATATGTTTTAGAATATTTTGTTCTTTGATGCCTTGGCGTCCCATAGTGGGATGGGAGCAGCATCCTTGAGGTAGAGAACAAAATGAAAAACACAGGCCTTCCTATTGCCAACTAGTCACTAATTTCGAAGTGAAAAGGCCAGCCATGCTTGTCAACATACTCGTCAACCTGTCAAGGCCTCAATGTGTGGGATGTGATCTCTGACAAAGGTCCAATTGAAGAGACTCGAGAAACCTAATACAATGGGAATCTTTAAAGCTAGCATTCCTTTCTTCAGTATAGGTAACAAACTCCACTGCGTAAAGGTAATTGAAAATTATTGATAGAAATCATTTTCCAAAATAAATAAGGAGATAACATCAGATTTCCATGGGCGGAGTTGACACAGCTGGAGTACTCTCATTGGTTGTTGAGAGACCATCTGACTTCCTCTGTGCTCAACTCTTACTGCTTCCAGTCTTAGCATCTGTCCCGTGTTGTGCAGTGCAAGTGGGAGGCAGTACAAGTTCAGATAAGGGCATAGTTTGTTAGTGGACTATCCAGGCTCAGATGCACCAGATTATCCCCTATAAGAACCCTCCACTATTATGTTTATGGGCTAGCAGAATTACATGGGTGGGTGTTAACAGAGACTGCTGAAGAACCTCTGATGCCGTACACCAGGGAAAAGAGGAGTCCCCATCCAGAACTCCCAGTTCAGCTGCAAGTAGAACAAGAAATATTGCAGACAGCTGTAACCTACGTGAACACAACTCATGTCACTGCTGAGTTTTGGAGGGCAAAGGGGTGCGTGTTAAGGACTGAGTAAGACAGGAATAAAAAAAAGTAGAAGGGGACCGGACATGCACAGGAATCTGGTGCAGCCACAGGTTCAAGAAACATTTGTACTTGGGGACAATTTTTCCTTGACCAGTGTAACTAGCTGTGACCTTCACATCTTTGTTCTTATTATAGGAAAGGGGAATGCATCTGTCAAGGCTGATTCCCCACTTTGGCACTTCAAGTGCAGAAGATGGGGGCCTGCAAGGATTCTAAAAAAATTAATAATGGCCACTCCAGGCTGGTATTAAACTCCCAAGGTCACAGCTTCTCTCTGAACTTGTAGATGCTGCCACCACCAAGTGCAAAAAAATACCCCCCTTTTGAGAACCTAAGAAGGAGCACTTGAGAATTCCTTCCTGTGGGGTACCCTCAAGCCCTTTCACCCCCTTTCCTGGGAAGAGCTGAGAAAAAAAACAAAGGAAATCAGCTGTTGCCACCAGCTAATTAAACAACATATGCACAAACCTCTTAGGGACACAAAAATCCAATCCTGTTCTTAAAAAAGGTAAATTTTATTAAACCCAAAAAGAAAGGAAATATATTTGGAACTTAGGCTTTTTGCTAGATCTTCAAAGAAACAATTACAAAAATTAAGCATTAAGATAGCTCTCTTAAGGTTTCAGCTTAAAGGTTACAAACAAAACAAAAGCTTGGGGTTAGCACAGAGGAGTCCATAAGCCAATAAGAAATAAAAGAAATAACCCTAATTGCATCTTTCTAGACATTTCCTAATTTACTTACATATCTGAGGCTTCAGATAAGTAAGTTCGAGGTATGAATTGATGATCTGTGATCATACCTGGCTTAAAGCTGTTTACAGCATTGCTGCTCTGTGTCACCGCCCTTCTCCTGGAGAACAACACCACACAGACAAAGGGAAGTTTTTTCCCCAATTTTAAAAAATTCTAGCCCTCCCCTTGGCTCTTTTGGTTAGGTGCCCACTCCTTTTCCTTTACCTGGGGGACTTTGTTAACCCTTTATAGCTAAAGCAAGCAGAGAACAGCCACCAAGAGGGACTTTATAGCTAACTAGCTGTCTGGGTGTTCATAAAAGGGAGCTCCACCCGCCCTTCATTCATCACAGCATCTATGTGTAAACAAAGTCATTCTTTTTAAACCATGGTGTCTGTGCTTTTTCAACTGCACCACATGGGCATTCCTCAGAAAGGGCTTTCAAGACCAGGATTTCACCCATGGATTTCTTGTATAAAAAAACAGGATGTGTCCAAGATGCTTTGTCTGCCCTTGTTCCATTAGCAAAACCAAACAAAACCTATCAGGTCATTTATGGTTTAGATTTTTGAGTAGTAGATTTAAAACTTTCTTCCTGTGGGCATGAACCATAACTGCCACAGTATAAAACAATAAGGTGTTCAGGAAATAATCTGATGTTTAGAAAATAGGCTTGCATAAAAAAAATCAGGATTAGTGGAACCCTGGAAAAAACAGAAGGGTCTACCCAGATATACATTTTAAATGATTTCCTTGACTTCAGCTGTTCCAGCTTCACTGATGTCAGAAAACCAGCTACTGCAATTCTACTTTTTAGACACAATCCTGGGTTCAGCAATGGTGTCAAGCAGCAGTCTGAAAACAGCTCACAAACTGAAAATTATAATGTATCAAACTGCAAGAATTAGCATCTGTGTAGACGATCCTGTTTCACTTCTGGAATGCAGAAGAGGATTAGAACCAGTCAGAAAAGAATGGGGAGAAAACAGGCATCCACAGTGCAGTTCTTTACCTTGAAGGGATCACTTGTTGGGATAGGCATGTGTTTTTTATTTTCCATTGGACAATTTTATTGCAGCAAAGAAATAAAAAATAACAAAGGAAATGGAAGTAATTACTGGGGGTTAAAAAGGAACTGCCTGATTAGGGCTCTCTGTACTTTTTCTTTATTGGCTGTCCAAAACATTATCTCTTGGCAAAAAGAAAAGGAGTACTTGTGGCACCTTAGAGACTAACCAATTTATTTGAGCATAAGCTTTCGTGAGCTACAGCTCACTTCATCGGATGCATACAGCAGTGGATTGCCGCGGCTAGGAGCTGGTGGAGCTGGGAGACCGTGCTGCTGACTGAGCTGTCATGAGGCTTTGAGTTCACAGCTCAACTCAAAGCCTCATGACAGCTCAGTCAGCAGCACGGTCTCCCAGCTCCGCCAGCTCCTAGCCGCGGCGCTCCGCTGCCCGCTGCCGTATGCATCCGATGAAGTGAGCTGTGGCTCACGAAAGCTTATGCTCAAATAAATTGGTTAGTCTCTAAGGTGCCACAAGTACTCCTTTTCCTTTTGCGAATACAGATTAACACGGCTGTTACTCTGAAACCTGAAATTATCTCTTGGGTTGTTTCCAGGTTTCTGAGGAAACAGCTAATAGGTGTTATATACCTCTAGCTCCGCATATTTTCAGGCTTTTGGTTTAAAACTCAAGATTCTAGATTTCTCAGGTCCTCAGGACTGCTTCCAAAATCTCAGGATTACTGGAGTAGTAAATATCGTCAATGCAGTAGATACTATGCCTGCAGCAGCCACAACCATGACAATGGCATCCACTAGATTAGAGGAGAAACAGAGAGATTGGTCCTGCAAAGGCAGGCTGCTAAGAAGATAACTCTTAGGTCCCACTGTTGTCAGAAAACATGTGAAGTCTTGAGTAGACTATTTTCCTGATTTAAAATTATATAAAAAGTTACCACATCATTTTTTTTTCCTTAAAGTGAGAATTAATCCCAGTGTGGCAACTCAGGGAGCAACCAAGGGGAAACTTTCAGGCTTGTCAATTGATTGGAATCCCTCCCTGTGGGCATAGGTAGTGTCTATACCAAAGCTAGTATTTAAGCCTAAGGCATATCCAGAGAGCCTTCCAGCAGTGCATCAGGCAAGGCAACCAAGATCTGCCACCTGTGATTCACTCCTTCTCCTCTCCATTCCCAGGGTGAGGAGGTGCGTTAAGCCCAGTGCTTGGCTCTGGCAGGGTTTGGGTTTGTCAGGTACACACAATGCTGTGTGTGTTAGAGCCAGGGTGGCCGCAGCCAGTGTTATGGGTCCAATTTAAGGTTGTCAGCCCTCCCGGATTGGCCAAGAGTCTACCGGAATCGGCCTCAATCCCCAAGTGACTATTAAAAGCAATCTGGGAGATTACAATCGGCCAAAAGTCCGGTCAGCGGTGCAGCAGGGCTAAGGCAGGCTCCCTACCTGCCCTGGCTCCATGCGGCTCCCAGACGTGGCCAGCATGTGCAGCGCTTAGGCGCAGGCGGTCTCCGCAGGCTGCCCCCCATGCCCTGCCCCGACTCCACCGCTCCCATTGGCCCGGAGGCACAGCCAATGGGAGCTGCCGGGGCAGCACTTGCAGGCAGGGAAAGCGCACAGAGCCACCTGGCCACCTCTGAGCCTAGGAGCTGGAGCTGCCAGTCGCTGCCGGGGGCCGCCCGAGGTAAACGCTGCCCAGCCGAAGCCCGCGCCCCAGCCCCCTGCCCTGAGCCCCCTCCCGCACCCCGAACCCCTTCCCCGGCCGCGCTCCAGGCCGGGGAAGGGAGGGCGAGAGGCGGCCCAACGGTGGCGAACTGTGGGCTCTCGCCCGATCTTCTTCAACGCCCCCGCAGGCAGAAACTCACACCACGGCCAGTAGCCCTTAGTTTTCCGTACAACATGGCGATACCCATGCCCCGCTCGACTGCGATCAGGAAGCTTGACCTAGTAAACGGGAATACTACTTCCGGGCTTGCTCCGTCACTATTTGAACTTTGACCCGCGCCCTTCCTCTTCCTCTTCCGGTCCCGGCGAGACCAGGTATGGTGGCTTCCATGGCTTGGCCTATGTACGGGAGCTGGTTCGATCCGCTTCCATCCGCGGATTGGCGGGCCCGGGCGGCCTGGGGCTGAGTTCCGGGCGGGCACTGGAGTGTGGGGAGCCGCGGGAGGGCGGTATTGAGGAGCGGGGATTGGGTCAAGGCCCGGATGGAGCCTCGGGCCCGGGGTGTCCCGGGCAGGGCCGCGCCTGGGCTCGCGCCTGCTGGTTGCAGCCCATGCCCCGCACTCTCTTCTGCGGCCTGGCGAGCCGCTGGGGCCATCGACAGGCCGCGGGGTTACGGGGATGCTCCGGAGCCGGGCCGGGCCGGGCCAGACCCGCTTGGTGGGGACGCCTCTCCTGCTTCTCGCGCGGCTGGGGCGCCAGGCAGGGAGATGGGGGAGCCCTGCTGCCTTTTAGTGACTCGTGCAGCTTGTGTCAGAACGACCGGGAGAGCGAACACGGGGCTTCTGGGATGGGCCTGGCGCAGTGGTGGTGACAGGAGTGTCGTTCAATAGGCAGGAGACGGGGAGCAGACAGTTCTGCGTGCTGTGAAAGGTATAGGGGTTTTCAAGCGCTCAGTATGTAGGTGCTAGCTACACTGTGATTCCACAACATCTCAACATAGAATAATTTGTTTGTAGATGCGGATACTTCCCCCCCTTTATAACGTGCTTTGAGATTTAGAGGAGACAAATGCCAAGACTCAGAGCTTATTATTGTTATGTTTGTGGGATTAGTATTACATCTTTACTACTAGCAGGTGTGAAACCTGAAGCATTCTGCTGCCCATGTCAAACTTCAGTGTACTACTGTTGCCAGGGCTATTAAAAGTAATATAATTCACTGATGATGTCATTTACTTCTTGTTGTCTAAATTCTCCCCCCGCCCCTCCAAAACAAAAGTTTAAACCTAATGGCAAAAGATCATTGTGAGTCTAATGCTCTTTCTCTCATTCCTTTATTTAGATATAAAAAATGGTTCAGCGTCTGACATACCGTCGTAGGTTGTCCTACAACACAGCCTCTAACAAGACCAGGCTGTAAGTAAGATCAGAGTTTCTGAGGGTTTTATCTGTTTGAATGTAGTTATTTACACTAATTGCATGTTTCTCTGATGCACACAGGTCCCGGACACCAGGTAACAGGATTGTTTACCTTTACACTAAGAAAGTTGGCAAGGCACCAAAGTCTGCATGTGGTGTGTGTCCAGGAAGACTTCGCGGTGTAAGTATTGTACTCATATAACCGGTTTCAGAGTAGCAACCGTGTTAGTCTGTATCCGCAAAAAGAAAAGGAGTTCTTTTGGCGCCTTAGAGACTAACAAATTTATTTGAGCATAAGCTTTTGTGAGCTCACAAAAGCTTATGCTCAGATATATTTGTTAGTCTCTAAGGCGCCAAAAGTACTCCTTTTCTTTTTACTCATTTAACTGGTCATTTTCGGTACCATGATCAAATACTTCAACTCCCACTGTTGCTGACTTGCTGTGTGATTTTTCTTTTCTCTTTTCTTTCTTTTTTTTTTTTTTTCAGTTAACAATCTTGCCTAGTGCTTTCCAGTCTTTAATTGGAGATATGTGTTTGTTGTGAGGATTAGTTGTTAAAACTCTGAAAACGTAAAGCATTTATTGGATAGTGATGCTATTTTTTTCCTTAATTTTTGTGCTTATAATCCACAGCATCTGAGCCCCTTTAGCTTAGGGGATAAGTAGCAAATGCCCATGCAATAAAAATTGGGCATGGGTAGACTTAACAGAATTCACCTTTTTTATATATATATCTATATAGATATAGATATGGATGGATGATATTTATTTTAAGTGATTTTTTTAAATGGATTTAAATTTTCAGTTGCACTAAATTCTGGGGGTGTCAGAGCATTATTTAATGACACCCCTACGTTCTTAAACAGGATTTTTCTTACTTTATCTGTAAATTTCAGTTATCAATGGAAATAATATTTTTTTCATTGGTTCGGATGGGGGGGATGAAATTGCAGTTTACTGACATTTAGACATAAAAGTCTAATCCTTGCTAGTCTAGACATAGATAACTATCAAAGAGATACTGTAGTAGGAGACTGTAGTAGTTCTATGTGCAGACTGTACAATCAAAAGTGAGTTATAGTAACGGCAGTATTTTTTAAAAAAACAAAAAAAAAACTGTCCATGTAGCAAAGGTATCATTTTATTCTTACAGAAAGAAGGAAATTGATTTAATCTTTGCTAGGATTGCTTCCAATATATCACTGACTACCCTGCCTGCCGAAACACTTAAAAGGGTTTGCAGGTTCAGTGTGAAAAGTGACATTTTAAAGGACAATGTCTATTCTAAAACTCATATTGTCATCCTCTCTGACTCTACCATTTCCAAGTAATACCACCACCAACCTAGCTTGATCTGGCTGCTGTGTCCATTGTATTTGATAAAAGACTGATATATTTGTATAGAAAATATTTGGGGCTTTATTTTAATTTTTTTGTAAAAGAGGTTCTTATTTGTTTGTAGTACATGGACTGCTTGCTGGTGATTGCCAGAGAGCTTGTTCGACCACATGATACGTCATCTCCTTGTTTCTAGCACTAAATGTCTTTAAAAGATAGCTAGTACATAATGTCCAAATGTCACTTTTCAGTAAAAGCAATTACAGTAATATCTTATGATGTAGTCTACAGTGTGATGAAGTTTGGTGTAGAATATGTACAATGACTTGAAGAGACACTGTAACACAAATTTCCTTAGTTATGTTATTAACAAACCATGTTGGGTTATTTAAAAACTGATAAGTCTTAGAATTTCTTTTTATAGTCTAGTTCTCAGCTTCACTTCCAGGTTGTCATGCAGTATTTTGGCCCAAGCAATCTACTGACATTTAACTACCAGTTTCCCACAGTGCTGGTTGGGGGAGCTCCTAGACCAATAAATTATCAAAGTAGGGACTTTTTAGTAAGATATTTGTAGTAAAGAGATATTGCAAACAGCTGTATCTTGTAAAAGCATATCTTGCACATTCAGCAGCAGTTCTCTTTTTTTTTTTTCCAAGAGAAACTGCTCAACATCCTTATGCTTAGTCTGAAGTGACACGCTTAAATGGTCTGCTTGATTTTTTTTTTTAAATATGGCTAGTATATCCAAAAAGTATGCATGATTATGAATTATTCTGTATGACATTTCAATTTTTGCTTCACGTAGGTTCGTGCTGTGCGCCCTAAAGTCCTTATGAGGTTGTCAAAAACAAAGAAGCATGTTAGCAGAGCCTATGGCGGTTCCATGTGTGCTAAATGTGTCCGTGACAGGTAAATTTTTAAAAAGCTAAGCAACTTTATCATAAATATTGGTCAAAATGGGGGAGGGGAGAAGAATTACTGTTCATATATTAGCAATAACACATTTTTCTTCTTATAGGCCAAATTTTTCAGACCTGGGTGCTTAACATTCTTTTTAACAGAATATTTCTCTTGACTGACTTGGAATAGATAAACATGGGACTATGAAACTCAGCAGTGATGTAATAATCTAGATGCATTTATATGTACAAAATCTTGTCCCCTGGATTCCAGCTGGTTCCTGTTTTACTATCTTTTTTTTTTATAAAGGTTTTAGATTCTTCTTTGTAATTTACCATCAAACATCATGATCTTTCTGTATAAACCTGAACTTTGAGTTACGTTCTGAATACTGATTGATACAGGAGAGAAGTGTAGTTATTTAAGGAAAGCATTAATGCCAAAGCTGACCCTGTATAAAAGTATGACACTAGTTAATCTTCTAGTTTACTGTCTGTCTTAGGGCTAAATTGGCACTGCTGCGATCAATGCAGCAGAGTCGATTTAGTGAGTCTGGTTAAGACATGCTAAATTGATGGGAGAGCGCTCTCCCATCCACTTCTGTAATCCACCTGAAGGAGAGGCAGAAGCTATGTAACTTACATGGACTTAGCGCCTTAGTGAAGACAAGCCCTTACTCTGCATACATAGCACATATTCTTACAACTCGGGTATTTTAAATAGTTCTGCCTGTCTTGTGTGAACAGTGACTAAGAATAGATATAAGTTGAAGTGTTGGGTTCAGTGAACAGCATGAAAAAGCTAAGTCCTGACAATTATTGTCCCTGTTAGCTGCACACTGAGCATCTCAGCATTGATATAATGGCTTTGCTACATGGATAAATTTTACACTGCACACTAAACTAAGGCCATCTTAATTAATTTTATGGCAAAGTGCCAATGTGTATTAGCCATGTCATAGCCAGAGATAACAAAAAGGTCCCTGGCACAATGAGCTTCGTCTATGCGCGTATTAGACCAATTTGAGTCCAGATCTCCAAAGTTAAAAGGTTAATATACTATTCCCTGCCTGATGATACTAAACCTCTAAGGAAGGTTTAAGGAAGGTCTAAGGAAGGTTTGCGGATGATACTAAACTGGGAGGAGTGGTAGATACGCTGGAGGGGAGGGATAGGATACAGAAGGACCTAGACAAATTGGAGGATTGGGCCAAAAGAAATCTGATGAGGTTCAATAAGGATAAGTGCAGGTCCTGCACTTAGGACGGAAGAACCAATGCACAGCTACAGACTAGGGACGAATGGCTAGGCAGCAGTTCTGCGGAAAAGGACCTAGGGGTGACAGTGGACAGAAGCTGGATATGAGTCAGCAGTGTGCCCTTGTTGCAAGAAGGCCAATGGATTTTGGGATGTATAAGTAGGGGCATAGAGCAGATCGAGGGACGTGATCGTTCCCCTCTATTCAACATTGGTGAGGCCTCATCTGGAGTACTGTGTCCAGTTTTGGGCCCCACACTTCAAGAAGGATGTGGATAAATTGGAGAGAGTCCAGCGAAGGGCAACAAAAATGATTAGGGGTCTGGAACACATGAGTTATGAGGAGAGGCTGAGGGAGCTGGGATTGTTTAGTGCAGAAGAGAAGAATGAGGGGGGATTTGATAGCTGTTTTCAACTACCTGAAAGGGGGTTCCAAAGAGGATGGCTCTAGACTGTTCTCAATGGTATCAGATGACAGAACGAGGAGTAATGGTCTCAAGCTGCAGTGGGGGAGGTTTAGATTGGATATTAGGAAAAACTTTTTCACTATGAGGGTGGTGAAACACTGGAATGCGTTACCTAGGGAGGTGGTAGAATCTCCTTCCTTAGAGGTTTTTAAGGTCAGGCTTGACAAAGCCCTGGCTGGGATGATTTAACTGGGAATTGGTCCTGCTTTGAGCAGGGGGTTGGACTAGATGACCTTCTGGGGTCCCTTCCAACCCTTATATTCTATGATTCTATGATATGATCTGTACTATAACCATTGCTAGCAATTTTTCTACCTTTAAGTACTTTTAAAAACTGAATTGCAGAGATATGTGGAAGACATCAGGTGTGTGACTGACATAATGCGTAGTTCAAAATTTTCCATGCTAAATGTGCCACTGCCCCCCCCCCCAGCTTGTTGAGGATGCTAGCCCGTACACTGGTGTTTAATTCATCTATATAAAAGTTTTATTTTGTGACAAAGACAGCCTACTACAGGTGTGAATGATGTGAAAAGCAGCTTTATCACATGAAACATGTATCTTTAAGAATAAAGATAGTAAAAAAACACCTTTTTGAACTGTGCAGAACTAAGTGTGAAGCACTAATATTCACGACAGCTTGAAGGTAAATTGGGTGTTCGGATACAACTCCAGGAGGTGAAGGAAGTTTCTAACTGTGAGACGCTTGAGCACTACTGTGTTATATCCTACAGAAAAGGCAATCTAGGGTTCAGTTAAACTGTTTTTAATATTGATTAACTAGGAAGGTGACAATTCCAGGGTTCTTTTGCTGCTGGGCTACAAAATGATTCTCTGTATCACACAAATAAATCTGCATATGGCACTAGAGGGAGTTGGTGCTGCTAGTGGGGGGAGAAAAGATCCTGACTATCATGCAGGAGGGGAGCAGGGGTTCTGGGCAACAGGAAGGAGTCGCAGACTGGGTGTCAGTGTAAGAAATGTCTGCTGCCATGTGGCAAGGCACACTTCTAGTATTCTTTATTTTTGGGGTGGGTCTTATGTGTATAATTAAGGATGGGAGGAGTATTTGTAGAGACATGGATTTGAGAATCAGATTAATCCCATCACTAGTATTTGAATTTGCTTAGGCTAACAGCAGCTTTTTTAATGAGATTATTAAACTACTCTTCCATGTCACTTAACCACCTTTGTATTAAATGGTAACTAGAAATGTTCATATGGTATATTTGTGTTTGGGTATGGCAAACCATCAAGCAAGCTGTCTGGTGAGTTAAGTGTTCAATCTTTTTAGGCTTGAGATCCTCTACATAATGACCATGTCTAACCTACAAAAATAACCATGTTTAAACATGACTGTGGCCTCTGTGTGCATGAAGGGTGCAGGGGGGAAGAGAGAACTGTTTTAATCCTGAAATACCTAGGCCTTTGCAGTTTTCTGAGTGTTTTTTCTGCCCACTTTGCCAAGAAAATACTATGTGAGGCCCAAAGCATTTTTAAATTCAGATGGTATGCATGTCTTATTTCAGTAGTGCTGGCAGTGGTGAAGAGTGCAAGTAGAAAAGTTAAAAATTGGGGTTTAGGTATCATTTTGTGCTTAATAGCTGGGTTTGGAGAAATGTGTGTAATATATAAACTGCTTTGATATTAAAGAGCTAATGAAGGCTTTTTCTCTTCCCTAGAATCAAACGAGCTTTCCTTATTGAGGAGCAGAAGATTGTTGTGAAAGTGTTGAAGGCACAAGCACAGAGTCAGAAATCTAAGTGAATCTCTTTGTATTGTCTGCCTAATAAATACAAATTCAACTTTTCTTGTGTCCTCTACCATTCTGCACATCTTTGCCATAAGTGTGGGCAAAGCTAGAAAGCATCTTCAGCAGAAGATTTGCTAAACGCAAAAGTAACCTTTTCGTTCAGTGTCCTAGTGCAGTCTTCACTCCCAAGGCAAGATGTCCTTCTCTGCTGCAGTTTTCACAGCCACTGTAACTACTCTGTGAAGAGCTTTCAAGTCACTACACAGACTCGTTATGCAACTTTTTAATGATCACTCAAATCTCTCCGTGCATATGGGAAGAAAGAGCTTTCACTTTGCCCCCACTCAGCCTCCCCTTCATGGCCCTGGCCTGCCACAGTACAAAAGGGTTAGTGAGCTTCAGAACTCCTCTGCAACCTGAATGTAGTTGAGATGGGACGGAGTGTTGCTGAACAGGGATCTCCCACTAGGCCAGCCGGTGGGGAGAAGAGTTTTGTAGCACTGGTGGAGGAGCTGCTGAAGTGGCTGGGGTATGTCCTCAAATGTAACTTGTTATGCATCTCCTCACTCAGTAAGTTGGAACGTGTCATTGATCCTCCACTCGGAATAAAATGTTGTCATTTTACTGCTACTGTTAAATTCAGGTAACTACTAACATTTCCCAAAGTGTGGTGTCTGGAGAGATGACTGGTTGCAGGATGCTGGCTCTGTCTGTTTGTAACTGATTCTACAGGCAGCCCAGAGATAAAGAAAAAAGGTGAAGCCTCACTCTGTACTGGCTGCTACAGAGGGAAATCAAGATTTACTCTGAATCAGTAAGATGGGAGCTGTTGACCAGCTGACTGGGTAATATGTCCAAGGAAGCACGCAAGTGGCAGGGAAGCAGCAGCAGGTCCAACCGTGTTCAGATATCACACAGTGCAATATAAAAATCTACCTAGGAACAGGCAACAGAAGTATGAGGGAGATTAAGCACATATATACACTCTGAGCGCTACAGCAGCACACAATGGTGTGTAGCTATGCCATGAAACACGTTATGTAGATGTGCACTACACTGATGAAAGTTTTTTCTAATGCTGTAGTAACTCCACCTCCCTAAGTGACAGTAGCCAGGTTGCTGGAAGCAGTCTTCCATCAACGCAGCTTCATCTACCCTGGGGGTTAGGTCAGCGTACCTGTGGTGCTCAAGAGTGTGAGGTTTTCATACCCAAGTGCTGTAGCTATATATACTTAGGTTTTAAGTGTAGACCAGGCCTGATTTTTAAAGGTTTTTAAGTATTGCTCTGCTCAGTGTTGCAAGGCCCAAGTAACATGTCCAAGTCTCATTTTCAAAAGCGACTTGGGGTATATGTATGTTGCAAAAAACACTAAACGGCAGCAAGTCTCAGAGCCCAGCTCTACTGACTCAGGCTCATACTGCAAGGCTAAAAGTAGCAGCCTAAATGTTCCTCCTTGGGCTTGAGACAGGGTTCTGAAACCCAGTGAGGGAGAAAAGTCTTAGAGCCCAGGCTCCAGCCCAAGCAAGAATGTCTATACTGCTATTTTTAGCCCTATAGTGTTGGCCTGGGGTTCTGAGAGTCATTGCTACAAGATTTTTTTCAGTATAGATGTACACCGAGGTGCCTGTCATTGGGACATAGCCATTTAAATCACTTGCACTGTTCCAGTGACACCTAGGGGACTAAGTCCTTTTTTAAAATGGGACTTGGACATGTAATACTTACTTAGGCCTTGCAACACTGAGTAGAGCAATGTCTGAATACCTTTAAAACTCTAGACTTAAGTAACTAGTCTTCAGAGGTATGCAATATTCTGTTAGGACAAGTAAAATATACTAAATCTGCTAATACTGATTTTTACAGTGAGACTTGTAGTTGCCATAATGTAACAAAGTAGGAACGGTGGAGAAATGGGTTCCACATTATGAAAACAAACTAGAGAAACTCCTGCTCGTGGTCACAAGCCGATGCATAATCATCAGCTAGGAAGAGATTTCTCACTAGCTGCAGTTTATCTAGTAGTAAAGTATACAACTTTTCTCTTAAAGGTGATCTCTAAAGGGAAAAATAGGCTTGTACACTTTTGCTTTTTTTCTGTTAAAATATCCTTAAATAATACCTAGCTTTTATACAGTGCTGTTCAGCAGTAGATCACAAAGGAGGTGAGCATTATTATTCCAATTTTCTAGTGGTTTTTTTCCCCTTCTAGCTTTTACCTTAGTAATTCTAGTTCTGTCTGTGCTAGAAGACTATGATTTACCAAAAAAATCAAAAGGGCAAAAGCCCAATTTTATTCTGCTGCAAGCTGCCTTTAACAGCTCTTCCCTAAGAGCAAAGAACCCTTAATTCGGCCGATACTGTAACCAGCCAATATTCAAATATGGAAGGGGAAGAATAATTTGATATTAAAAAACTGACCAACGGTGGTAGTCTTCTGGTTTGAAGAGGTCCTCAGTATCATTCGTTGCTCATTTTTCTCCCAATATTATGGACCTCAGCCATGGTCACTTTTCATGGAGAAACAAAGGTCTCCATTTAAAACTCCTGAATAGTTTGGTGGGGTATTAACAGAAGAGGTGAAACAGTCTCTGTCCCCCAAGAGAAGTGCCCTTCCGGTCTGCCAAGGCAATGAAGACAGTTTTGTTAATGTTCTCAAATTGAATGAACATACAGCTATTTAGACTGTAAGCTCTTCAGGACAGGATGCTTTATTATATGTTAGTACCTAGCAATGATTGAGAATCAAAGACCATTCAAAACCTAGGGAGGTGGTGGAATCTCCTTCCTTAGAGGTTTCTAAGGTCAGGCTTGACGAAGCCCTGGCTGGGATGATTTAGTTAAGGACTGGTACTGCTCTGAGCAGCAGGTTGGACTAGATGACCTCCAGAGGTCCCTTCCAACCCTGATATTCTATGATTCAGAGCAATAGCTCTACCATTGCCAACCCAGCTTGGAATGTGTTTTTAAAGGCTATAAACTAGCAGAAAGATCTTGCCCTGGGATTGTAACATTCACTAAATTGTCTGAGCAGCAGTGTGTTAATATAAAGTTCAGTTTTCAAAGTTGAAGTTTATATTCACTGTCTTAATGTAATACAACTGTATCTGCTCTGCAATATGCTGAAAAGTATGGATTTCAGACAGGAAAGGGAAATGAAGACAGGTGTTTAATCTTCCCCATAAGTGGTTTTTCAATTAAATATGATTCAACATGCATGATTTACATTAATGTCTGTTAGATTAGATTTCCTTTAGGGCTCTTGGGGGTGGGGGAAGAATGGTGGGAGAGGAGTTGATATTCACTGTGAGCTTCCATTTTGGTTTGTACAACATTTCCAATTTAATCATTGCTAAATAATGAACAGGCAGAAATCAGTGGAATTAGGCAATTTGCTCTGAACTGGGGTGTGTGAGGGTGCGGGGGAATTGGAAGGAAAGAAAAGAAACCAATTATAAAAATGAAATTTGAGTGAAGAACAAGGGCAACTAAAATCTTAGTTTCCATGTATGATAGCTTGGCTAGCAGCAAAAATAAAAATGCAGTCATTAGACAAAGTATCAGGGAAATGATAATAAGGCTGTTAGATCTGTGTGTGCGTGGGTTTTTTGTTTTTTTTTTTACATTGATGACAGACTCAAAGCAGACAGCTGCAATTTAGATATCAAGGCAGTTTTTACAGGTGTGATGTGCCTCTTAACTAGCAATGTCTTCAAGGTAGTCACTAGATTAAATTATTTAGAGGCAAGGTATGTTTTCTTGTAGAGCAAGTCTGCTAAACACTGACAAATAGCCAAACATTTTCATGGTTGACAGTGGGGCTTAGGTTTCATGTACAAGTTTTATTGCTTTACCTATGGAGTCAAATTATGCCAATTGAATGGTAGCAATATTCCTATTTACAGAACTCTTTACAGATGTATAAGAAGACATGATCCTTACCATTATGCTGCTGTCAATTAGAGTTTTGATACTAACTTCAGTATGAGTTGGAGCAGGTTGTAATTTACATATAATTGAATACTGACATCAGTGGCGGCTTGGGCAGGTAATGCTGCTTTGGGGAGAGATGTGGAATACTCATGGTGATGGTAGAAAATTGATTTTTGTGTGTGTGGAATTCCTGCTTAATGGACCTACAATCTGGACTTTAAGGGATTTGTCGCTGCATCAGTTTCCCTTGAAAAACATGGGGTCATCTTCAATGTAATGGGGTTCCAAATACATCTCAATGAAGTAGAGATTATTTTTTTCTCTTCATGCTGATGATTAAAGGATAGTGCTAATACTGGAAATGAATCAAAATCAGAATTAGTTTCAATTGCAGTATTGAAAATTGTATCCTTTATTTCACCTTAAATATTACCTGCTCTTCTTTTCCCACAATTTAAAAGTTAAGATCACCTGCACGTGCCACACTGCATTTGATTAATTGTCGGCAGAAGCATGTCAGCATGCTATAAATATTCAGATGGGCTTAATGCACTAGATATTTCCCTCCATCCAAATTTGAGAAATCTTTTTGATGAAATGTATATTTTTCTGGCACCGCTGACAGTGCCATCATCCTTCCTCTCAAACAGGGCAGTAACCTGGAAGTTATTTTTGACTACTTCCTCCCTTTTGGTCCACGGATCCAGCCTACCTCCAAATCCGCTGATGTTTCCTCCATAACAGTTCCAAGCCAGGTCACCTTTTTCTCTCCGGATAGCTAAAACACTTGTCCAGGCCCTTATCATCTCACATTCTGTCTACTGCAATCACCTCCTCTCTGGCCCACCTTGCTCCCATCTAGTCCTTATGAAACATAGTTATTAAGATCATCTTCCTTGCCTGTTGCCCCAGTCATCTCACCTCACTCTCTGAATTGTCCATTGGCTCTCCTTTCACCGTCTCAAATTCAAGCTGTTTAATCTCAAGGTCCTTCACAGCGCCCGCTGGGGCTTGGGGCTTCAGCCCTGTGGGAGGTGCCGGGGCTCTGGGAAATAATCTTTGAGAATTTAAGCCCTGATGGTAACACATGCTCTTGATTGAGGCTCCATTATACTGGGAGCTGTACAGAGAAAAGAGAGGGTAATAACTTTTGATCTCATCTGACCTGGGCCAGATTTGAATGAATGACCTAAAGGTGAAAGGCTTTAGAACTAACCTCCAGTCCTCTGAAGAATCCTGTTTCCCCACAGTTCCCAAAAATGTCTTTCAGTATATTGCTATCCTCCTCTGATACGCAAATGAGTCCTCATTCCTTCATTGGCCTAAGTAGTCTTTTACTGTGATAGCTGCCAGTATTTTCCTTTTCTTAAGATCTGCATCTTATTTTTCTGAGCAAATGCTACAACAATCTCTCCTGGGAACATTCAGAGTATGATACACGTTTTTCCATCTGTTAAGATTAAATTACTGTGGACACAATTACTTTAAAAGCATACTCCTACCACGCTGTGGCCACCTCAGTCAACTACAGTTTAAAATATATCAATTTACAATAATATTATATCAAAGTAGTCAGCGATGAAACAAAACAAAGACTTTCAACTAAGCAGATCAGGACTAGTTTCATCTCAGTTATGTTCTATTATTTAAATCTATTCAGAAACAGCACAAAATTCAGCTTATTAGGACTGGAATTTCCATTGTATAGGGTTTACTGCTCTGGATGTATACCTGTCCTTACCTGATATGAGAAACTGCTGGGCACAAGTCTCCAGCTCTGTGCTCTCTTCCCAGCCCTGCTGAACAGTGCACACATTTGTGTACTGTCCGTAACATAGTATGGTGTCAAACATGGGGAAGAGAAAGACCACAGCAGTAAGGAACGGGGAGAAAAACAAAGGAAAGCTATGTGGGGAGAATTGCAGAGAAGAATGAAAACTGAGAAAAAAGCAAGAAATAATTGAAGTTGAGTAGGGAGGAGAGGGATGAATAAAGCTGTAAGGTAAAGGGCAGTAAGGAAGAAAAAACACAGAAGGGTGCGGGGCGGGAGGGGGGGAACACAACTGGAAGGAAAAATGAGAGGACAGAAAAAAAAGGACAGGAGAAAGAAAACAAATGTGACCTCAGGTATGCTAGAAGGCACAGGCACAGTTCCACTGATCCAACCATTAAATGTTGGGAAGCACAATTTTAATGTAAATGTGAGATCTCATTATCTAGCTGAATGTGATGGTTCACTGATTTCTTTCTAAACTCCACAGTCAGGAGCAACTTTTTCTAGAATATCTTTATTTAATAGTTTTACATATGGCTTTGATCTGCACTGTTTGCAACACACAAAAGTAGCTTGAATTATTTATTTATAAATTTGTGACTTTGTGTGATGGTTCTTGGGGTACCCAGGAGCCTAGTCACCTTGTTACCTCCCGCCTTCAGCTGAGGGAATCTTGCCGATGCCTGGCTGGGTATCAATTCCCTAATAGCACGAGCTTTCAGCTACTCAAGCACTCTCCTCTGGGCTATGCCAGACTTGTCTTCGCTGGAGATTAACAATAGATGCATCCCAGTTCCCAAGTTCCTTTGCATCATTCCCCTGTGATATCCTGACACCGGCTATTCACAGAAATCCCAGATCCTCTGCCAATGTAAAATCATATAGCACTTATGATCACTTATAATAAAACAAATGTAGGTTTCTTTAAGAAAGAATAGAGATTCTACTAGAAACAAGAGGGAGTGCTGTATACAACCAGATGCAATACAAAACAAAATATGCTCCTATAAAATGTCACAGATGCCCAGAGACATGGCAAATGCAAATCAAATTAAGTCTGTAGTCAATTACAACCTATAGCAGGGGTGGGCAAACTTTTTGGGCAGAGGGCCACATCTGGATATAGAAATTGTATGGTGGGCCATGAATGCTCATGAAATTGCGGTTGGGTTGTAGGAGGGGGTGAAGACTCTGATTGGCGGTGCAGGCTCCGGAGTGGGGCCAAAAATGAGGAGTTCAGGGTCTGGGAGGGGGCTCCAGGCCCCTAAAATTACTCGTATTCAAGCGAGTTCATCAGCAATCAGTCAGAACTATGTAATACAAACATTCAAATTAACATGAAGTTGACTGAGCCCCTGTTAAAAAGAAATGCTGCATCTAAAATTCTTTGTATTTATCTTCTTATCTTTAAGGCTTTAGGGTTCACATAGGGAGGGGTGACACACACATCCCTACCCCTCCCACACACACTCCCTATACACCTCTCTCACACAGGGGAGGTGACTGACTTACCCGACCATCCCTGCCTGGCGCTCTCCGCCCACCATGCTGGACTGGGCCCCCGGGACAAACCCATCCCTCCTGGTACTTGGCACCACATCTTCTCGAGGCAATACATGGGGGGCATTCAGGGTCACATGCCCATTTCTGCGAGGATACACAACAGAATATGGTCAGTAGCAGCCTTTCAGCACTGTGCGGGAAGGAAGGGATGAGAGCTGCTTCCAACTGCAGAGGAGGAGGAGGGGGGGAAAGGGATGGCCTGGCCCATGACTTTGCAGAGCTCAGGCCAGCAGCAGGACCCACCAGTAGGGCTGTCCTTAGGATTTTTGGAGTCCTACACAGTATTATTAAACTGGTGCTCGCAGACACGCAGAAGAACCCCTCCACACTGCTGACACACTGAGCTTTGTATGCAGCAGACGCTGCAGCAGCCTGGGGCAATGGAGGGAAAGGGGAGGCAGAAAAGGATACCGAGCAGCCTGGTGGCGGAGAATCAGAGTTCCCCGCAGAGACCCCCGTACCCTTTCCCTCACGCAGAATGCACCACACCGGCGCATCCGGCTCTGTGAATACGGCCCCTGCCTAAGGAGACTGCCACACGCGCTGGGTGTGTGGGACCCGACCTGTTCTTACCTGCTGTCCCAGCGGTGCACCACATTTTTGGGTGCCCTATGCAGCCACATATGCTGCGTATGCCTAAGGATGGCCCTACCTGCCAGTACCGATGGGGGGTGGGGGGTGGAAGACAGAAAATATGGGACAATTTGCCCATTTTTAAGAAAAAGTCAGGACACCTGCAGGAGGGCTTAAATACGGGACTGTCCCTTTAAAAACGGGATGTCTGGTCACAGTACCTAAAAAAACCTTGCTTCACCCAAACGTCTTAGAGAGCCGCACCGGCTCGGCACTTGGCATCCAGCTTTTCTAGCGATAAGAAGGACCCACACAGATTTTGCACCTTGGGAAGTTCACACGCTCCTCGACAGAGGCGACCCACCTGGGCGTAGAACGGCTACGCTCGGGAGAGGACGGGCGCGTCGCAGGGAGACCGTGCTGCCCTCTCACCGACGCAAGACTAGCTGCGGGTTCCGCTTTTTGCTGGGCTGGCCGAACCCAGAGGCAGTTCCCTGCGCTCTGGTGCCGGGAGAAGGCACAGGCTGGACAGACTTAACGCACCGCCCCCCACCTGCTGCCCGGCCGGTGCCGCAACGGTAACGGGCGATAACGAGCTATAGGCCAGCCACGGCGCCCCCACCCGGCCAGGTTCCGCATTGTGGGCGGGGCCTCCTGCTCTGTGGGCGGGGCTTCGGGTGGGCCAGTCCCGCCCGAGACTCTCCCACTTGCCGTGTCTAGGCCACGTCAGGGGCTGCTAGGATCTGGCAGGTGTGTAGTACTGATATTCCCCAGACACGTATAGTCGGCTTGAAACTCCAGATTTTGGCGGTGTTTTAACGACGTGAGATTTCGTAGCTCGAGTTTTTCTCCAGGTGACCTTTACCATGCTCAATTTTGCACTTTTTCGCCCTATCCTTATCACCTTCCAGGACCCCGCCGTTGCCCTGCGTTCCCTCTCTAGCTGGCTTCCGCTTCCGCATTCGTGTAGAGTGACGGTGGCCGCGGCGGGTCAAGGCGGGGTAGACGGCCGCGGTGGTGCTGGCTTTGATTAGCCTTCCGTGGCGGTGGCTGGGTTGCCATCATGGAGACGCTCTACCGGGTGCCGTTCGCGGTGCTCCAGTGCCCCAACATCAAGCTGAAGCGGCCGAGCTGGGTGCACACGCCCTCAGCTATGACCGTCTACGCGCTGGTGGTGGTGTCCTACTTCCTCATCACCGGAGGTAACGGGCCCGGGCGGGCGGAGGGCTGGGGGGGCCGGGAGCGGGCCCCGGGCGGAGGGCTGGGCGCGGGGAGGGGGAGCAGGATTAGGCCTGTTCTTTCCGCTCCTAGGGCGCCTGTTGGGGGCGGCGGGCAGTGGGGTTACCCCTACCTCTCTCGGTGGGAGCCTGGCTGCGGGCGAGTGCCTCCCCCCGATCCCCACACTTCCGGGGCTGGAGCCTGCTGCCGGGGCTCCCTGAGGTGGTGGCCGAGGGAGACCCCGGGTGAGGGAAGCGGAGGAGTGTGACACACTCCCCCCCCCCCATAGGTGATCCCGTCGCAGCCGTACGGTGTGTGTGTGGGGGGGGGATTGCTCTGCACCCTCTCCTCGGGCATCGCGGTTCCCCGGATTCCGCCTGCGGCCCGGGGAAGCCCTGCCTGAGCCTGCCCGGAGAGGGCCCCTGTGAGGACAAAAACAGCAGCCGGCACAATTTTCCCACCCGTGAGCAACTTGTGTCCCTACGCCCCGCCTCACACAGTGCAGGGACGCCCTCCGGTGGGGTTCCCAGAGAGGGGTCGTCTTTGCCCGTGGTGTAAACCCCCACATCCGCGCTGAGGGTGGTACGCAAATCCCCGTCCCCGCTGGGGTGATTGGCCCAGCTCTGTGACCAGCGGGCAAGGTGGTGGAGAAGGTTTTGGTTGTCTGGTTCAAAAATAGGCCTTGGTGAGGATCTTAGTTCAGGTGCAGTAACCGAAGAGATCTGTGGGACCATATCCATCTCCAGACCAGGATACACTTGCTTAGTATAGGCAATATTGGAAATCAAACTGATACTGTGTCTGAGTCAGGAGATGAGTGTCCCAGAGGGAGAAACCTTTGTTCCTGTAGGCAGACCTACTTTCCATTCTTGGCTTTTGGAACAGATAATTTTAAGACCGCTCTTATAACATCTTTCTCTAGTGGTGAAGGATTTTGCTCTGTGTGTTTCAAAGACATTCAAAAGTTCCCTCCTTTAAATTGATATGCAGCCTGAGAAGAGCAGCCCCTAAACTCTTATATCTGTTATGTCAGTGAGGTGTATTATGTGCTCCTCCCAACCCCCCAAAACTCCCACCCTTCTCTGTCCACTATGGAAATTTTGCCTTAATCCTGATGCTGGAATGGGACTTTCTAGTGTGTGATATGTAGAATTTAATCAGTGATCAAATTAGAGATTTTGGTGCATATCTGAAAACCTTATTTTAGCTTTGATTACCTGGTTTTTGGGGAATGTTGATTAAGGAATGAGAATGGTACTGTTGAGTAGTGACTTGGCAGGTGGCTGTTTTGCTTTCCTATGCCAACCTTGTAGCAGTTTTTGGCTTATTCATCACTACTGCTGCTTAATAGCAAATGGTATGTGGATCACAAGCTCTTTCTCTAGTTATCAAAGGAAACTCCAGTCAAGTGATACAATGTAGTTTGGGTTGATGCACCAAAGAAACATAATTCTGCATTTATTACAATTATCCCTAAATGGCATGAGAAGTCTGTTGCACTAGTCTGCAGAGCTGCTCCATTCAAATCCTTCATGAAGATCCTCTCTTTGTCACCTGCAAGAAATATAGGTAGAGGGGCATGTAGAATAGTTTATATTAGGGCTGTCAATTAGTCACAGTTAACTCATGTGATCAACTCAAAAAGTTAATTGCGATTAATTGCACTGTTAAACAATAGAATACCAATTGTAATTTTTAAAACATTTTTGGATGTTTTTCTACATTTTCAAATATATTGATTTGTATCACAACACCAAATACAAAGTGTACAGTGCTTGCTTTATATTATTTTTATTACAAATATTTGTACTGTAAAAATGATAAAAGAAATAGTATTTTTCAATTCACCTCTTACAAGTACTGTAGTGCAATCTCCTTATTATGAAAGTGTAATTTACAAATGCAGATTTTTTTGTAATATAACTGCACTCAAAAACAAAACAGTGTAAAACTTTAGAGCCTACAAGTCCACTCAGTCTTACTTCCTGTTCAGCCACCTGCTAAGACAAATAAGTTTGTTTACATTGAAAGTGAGAACAGGCGTTCTCAGGGCACTTTTGTAGCCAGCATTACAAGGTATTTATGTGCCAGATATGCTAAATTTTCATATGCCTCTTCATGCTTCGGCCACCATTCCAGAGGACATACTGATGATGCTCATTAAAAAAATGTGCGTTAATTAAATTTGGGACTGAACTCCTTGGGGGAGAACTGTGTCTCCTTTTCTGTTTTACCCACATTCTGCCATATATTTCATGTTATAGCGGTCTCGGATGATGACCCAACACATGCTCATTTTAAGAACACTTTCACAGCAGATTTGACAAAAGGCAAAGAAGGTAGGATATGAGACTTCTAAAAATAGATAAAGCACTCAACCCAAGGTTTAAGAATCTGAAGTGCCTTCCCAAATCTGATTGGGACGGAGTGTGGAGCATGCTTTCAGAAGTCTTAAAAGAGCAGCACTCTGATGCAGAAACTACAGTACCCGAGCCACCAAAAAAAAAGAATCAATCTGCTGGTGGCATCTGACTCCGATGATGAAAATGAGCATATGTCGGTCCGCTCTGCTTTGGATCGTTATTGAGCAGAACCCGTCATCAGCGTGGACGCATGGCCTCTGGGATGGTGGTTGAAGAATGAATGGACATATGAATCTTTAGCACATCTGGCACATTGATATCTTGTGACGCCGGCCACAACAGTGCCATGCAAACTCCTGTTCTCACTTTCAGGTGACTTTGTAAACAAGAAACGGGTAATATTAGTTCCTGCAAATTGAAACCAAACTTGTTTGTCTGAGGATCGGCTGAGGTAGGACTGAGTGGACTTGTGGGCGCTAAAGTTTTATGTTTTATTTTTGAATGCAGGTTTTTTTTTTACATTATTCTACATTTGTAAGTTCAACTTTCATGATAAAGAGATTGCACTGCAGCTCTTGTATTAGATGAATTGAAAAATACTATTTCTTTTGTTTTTTAATGTGAAAATATTTGTAATAAAATATAAAGTGAGCACTGTACACTTTGTATTCTGTGTTGTAATTGAAAATAATATATTTGAAAATGTAGAGAACATCCAAAAATACTTAAATAAACAGTATTCTAGTATTCTTTAATCGCCCAATTAATCACGATTAATTTTTTTTAATTTTCTAATTAATCACGATTAATTTTTTAATCGGTTGACAGCCCTAATGTATATTAATTAAAAATACCATATCAAGACATGGCTAATTTATCCTCCTGACCACTTTCCTTGTATGTTGTATTTTCTGCTCCCTCTCCTTTTCTTTCCCCCTGCTTCTCTTTCTGGGGCTGAGAATGTGCGTCCTGTGAGTTTATACAGTGCCTCGTATGCTGTAGTCACCCAGAAACAAATAAGGAATGTGAAGTCCAACCACAAGAGGCAGTAGCTCAAGTAAATTTGCTGGAATAAATTTAGTTTCATGTAAGTAACTCCTAAAATTCTAGATTAAATTCAAAATTACAGCTAAAGTTTACAGGATCTCTGTTTGGCTCAATGACATTGCAACATGAATCTTCCCATGATATTCTATAGTGTCTGTACCTATACAGTAAGAAAGAATGGTCCCTAAATAGAACACTACTGTACATTTTGAGTCTTTTCAGCCAAAAGTGGTTTTTATTTTTGTTATCCTTATAAAGGTAAATAGAATTAATCAAGTTAACAATCCCAGATTAAACTCTATTAAGTAGGAAAACAAGGTCTAGTGTCCTAGGCTCTGATATGAAGAACACTTAAGACTGTGAATGTGAAAAGTCATTGGAGCACTAATCATGTATAAGCCACTTACTGTTAATGGTAGTCTACACAGCAGCTGGGGTGGTGATTCTCCGCTCTGGTAGACATACACACGCTAGGAGTGGTTGAACTAGTGTCCTAATAGGAGTGGTGGTGTGGCAGCTCAGCTGCCTGAGTACCTACCCTGGGGGTCGGGCAGGACTGTACTCTGGTAACTAGCCTGAGCCACTGTGGCCATGCTGCTATTTTTTGCATGCTAGCTTGAGCAGAACTAGCATGTGTATTTCTACCCAACCTGGGAACGACCCTCCCAGCTGCTGTATAGGTGTACCCTAATGTAAAAAAATGGCTTTCTGAAATGTCTGATATCCATCCCATTATAATTTAAGGTTATAACTTACTTAATTATGTTTTTCTTACCATTTGAACAGGAGATGTAAAATGGCAAGTAATTTACTAAACTGTTTCCTTTCTATTCATACTGTCTGTAGAAGGAAATCATTCTTAATATTTAGAGATGGATGATGCTGGCTCATCATTCAAAACTAATGTCCTTTTTTTCTTTTTCTTTCTTTTTTTATAGGAATAATCTATGACGTGATTGTAGAACCTCCCAGTGTTGGGTCTATGACAGATGAACATGGACATCAGAGACCAGTGGCCTTCTTGGCATACAGGTAGAAATTATCCTTTGTCATAATCGAACGGTCTCTCCCTGACCTGCAAACAGATGAATGCAAGTGAACCGTAGTGCTCTTGGAGAGCTCCATTGACTTCAGCTGTGCTCTCTGAGGGCCCCAGGATCCACAAATATGCATCTGATTTCACTGATTGGAGCCTTCTTTTGCAAATGAATTGTTTAAATATTCACAGTATATTTCATATATAGGCTTGGAAGGGTTTGAGGTTTTAGTAGATATGTAATTGATAAAAATACAAAGATTTTTGCATTACAGGAAATGAAATTTCAGCTAGATGATACAAATTAATTTTCATGAGTAGAAGTCAAGATTTATAACAAACAGAAGCTATATTTGATCATATTTCATAACTGATATCTTTTTAATTACTTGTCAGAGTTGACATAATACACCAGTTTTGTAATGTGTTTTTTTATACATTTCCTTTCTGTTAAACTTTGTTTAATAATGGGTGAAATATTTTTGAGTGCTTGTTTGTAAAAGGAAAAGTGGGTGGTTGCAAATATGTAACAATTAAAACTGAATACCCCAGTCTAGTTGTGTGTATTAATATAACCTGTCTTTAGTTGGCTTTCACTTTCTTTTCCCTCCCCAACTCTTTTCTAATATTTTGAATGACCATTTTTCTGTTCTACATCCAGTTCTGCTGTAAGAGCAAACCACAAATCTTATTTTTCTAATTACGCTCAACAGCAATAAACTATAGAACTCGTATCTGTAATTTGCATTCAGTTTTTGAACCCAAAATAAAATGATTTGCAAGATCAAGGTCTTAGTTACTTTGCATAAATGCAGGGGATCACCCATATGGAGTAACTTGCAGTTTAGGGACAGATTTTATTCAGTTTGAAACCTAAATCTACAGTGTCTGTCCTTCAAAATTAGTTCAGCAGATTCTTCTTGCTTAGAATCTAAAATTTTATTAGAGATAAAACTAATTCAGTCAGAAGTTAGTTGAGAAAATTAATGAGTAAGTTTACAGAGCTCTGGATTTTGTCTGTCTGGATTGGTTATCCTTAATTCCTGCAGAAAATGTTGGGCTATTTTTTTGTTTTTTAACTAAAAGTACCTCATTGTAAAAAAGAGCTGACACTGTATTTAAAAAAAAAATTGATTATAAAATACATAGTAGTTTCTCATTGTTACTCTTGACTCTAGGAATCTTTTGCGTAGAGTTTGTGTTCAGATTAACATCTTCCAATATATGCTTCAGATTTCTTTGGGCTACTGCAATATACATGAATCACATTGCTCTAGGAAGTTGGGAGCACTTTAGTGAAAGTCATGGGGAAGAACAGTGTAAAAGATTCAACTACTATTTATCAAGATTAGACACTAATGAAATGCTCTGCACCCTTGTAGATCCTTCCAGCAAAGTGCTTTACCAAGGTGGTGGTGTATACCTGTATTACAAATTGGAAAACTGAGGCACAGATGTGTTAAGGGACTTATCCAAAATCATGCAGTGACAGAAATGAGAATGCAGTCTAGTGCCAGGGTTCTCAACCTTTTTCTTTCTGAGGCCTCCCCAACATGCTGTAAAAACTCTGCAGCCCATCTGTGCCACAACAACTGTTTTTCTGCATATAAAAGCCAGGGCCAGTAATAGGAGGTATCAAGCAGGGCAATTTTCCGGGGCACCACACTGCAGGGGGCCCTGTGAAGCTGAGTTGCTCAGGCTTTGGTTTCAGCCCTGGGTGGCGAGGCTCAGAGCCCCGTGCTTCTGCTCCATTAGGTGGGGCTTTGGCTTTCTGCCCTGGGCCCCAGAAAGTCTAATGCTGGTCCTGCTTGGTGGACTCCGTGAAATCTGCTTGTGACCCCCAAAGGGACCCCGGACCTCTGTTTGAGAACCACTGGTCTAGCACATCTTACTCCTAATGCTGTGCTGGAACAAGGAGACACAATTCCTCCCTTGATATGGATTTGAATAACGCTTCTCTTATTGCAGTGACTGGAATTCGGGGTTTGTCTTCTAAGAAATGGTTTGGGAAACAAACTTGAAAGCTCAACAGTCTAGAAGTTTTGGGTCCCTACTTACATTCATTTGTTAACTTATTTTTGCTTTCAACCAAGACACATTTGAAATTACCACTCATATCTAAAATTCTAAATAAGTAATGTATATAATGTGGTGGTTTTGCATACAGTCACATTACCCTTTTATGAATACTCATGATTAAAAGCATTAGTACGTTTCTGTCACCTTGCAAAGTACTGATCCAGGAGCTAAATTATATATTAATCCCTTATCGCATCAGGAGACAGCTCCAGCAACGTGTGTTATGTTCCACTAAGTGTGTAAACATCAAAATGAACTGTCCTGGGTTTTTGTAAAACGGAAGCAGATCAAAATATTACACTAAATAGCTGGCTCTTGAAGTGAAAATAATACTTTGAGGGGCTGGTGTTCTACTGAAATATCTTTTATTCCTGTTTTTTCCCTCCCCCCAGAGTAAATGGACAGTATATTATGGAAGGACTCGCATCCAGCTTCCTCTTCACAATGGGAGGCTTAGGCTTCATAATTCTGGACCGATCCAATGCACCAAATATCCCAAAGCTCAATAGATTTCTGTTGCTTTTTATTGGATTTGTCAGCGTCCTGTTGAGCTTCTTCATGGCAAGAGTTTTCATGCGGATGAAATTGCCGTAAGTTGTTTAGGACACTTCATGCTGTTCTCCCCTCCCTTTCTGTTACTGATGAGCAGGGATCCTAGTTTTGTGATAAAATCAGATTTGTATGGTTTTTTTCCACAATTAAAGTGGAATGCTGAACTTCAGTTTCCCTAGCCACTATAAATATAGGTGTCAGTTGAACACAATGTTTTATTGGTATATTAACATTTTTGGAGCAAGTTCAAAGCCTTCCAGTGACATCAATCATTATAATAAAATAAAATTAATAGAATTACAATTTGTATTTCTTACAAATACCAAATATTTGTCTGCTTTCTATATTTTCAGAAAATTTTTTTTAACGCACAAAATAAAAAGCAAAAATTGCTTTTCTATTAACTTTACTCACTTTCTGAGTTAGTCCTGGAGGCTGAAATTTGAGATGCATTAAAATACAAACCCCTAAAGGTCACTTAGTAACCTCTATATGCCAAAGCAGTGTATTGGAGTGTGTTTAGCTATGTACAGTTTATCCGAGTCTCCATTATCTGGCTGTCTGTACTAACTGAACCACCAGCCACCCAGGGCTGACTGTGGTAAGGGCTTGGGCGGTCAGCGCATTCAAAAATCAACCACAAGAGGGAGAGGTTGCACCCATTGAATAAGTGGCACTGGTACTTCCATCAGTAAAATTTAGTTAATACATTTTCATTTTTTCACAAAATGTAAAAACTAAAGAATCTCTGTAAAAATGCAAATTCCATGTTTTTCTGTGGCAAACTGATTTCTAGGATCCCAGCTAAGTTTACAAAGTACTACATATGAAGCAAGGATAAGTTGTATTTAAAAAAAAAAAAATTGGTGTAGATTAAACACTCACAGCTTTGCTTTAAGGTGTTTTAGTTAAAATTGGAATGTGCCCTCTTTAGTGAGGTGTAAATGTTTTTGGGTCTGCCCATTCATTCTGAGACCTCAAGTTGTTGTGCAGGGAGTTGACAGGCTGCCTGTCAGAAATCATAGCTACAATACAGTTTGATTCTAGACTGAATGGGTTGGATTTTGAGGAAAGATTAAAAGACTTAATCTATACAGGTTGGCTAAAATCCAGCACAAGCTTTAGAGAGAAGCATAAATAGGTAAGCATTGGGAGGATGGGAGATGAATTAGGGGTATAACAAGGTGAAAATTAAGAAGGGAAACTGAGGCTATCTGGAAAATTGTTCTACAGCCTGTGAAAAATCTTCCAACGAAGGTAGAGTAGTGTTAGTTCTTGCATGTACTGACAGGGCTTTCGAGCTTCTTGATTCTGTGTTTTCCAGTCTATTCAGTAGCTTATAATGAATTTATTTTATTTTTGCTGCCTGCCTGCCTCTTCTCCTTCCCTCCCACTTCTCAACCCCACTATGACCTCTAGAGCTGCCAACAGCAGCAGTTTCTTTGAGGGCCACTGCTAAAACCACTCCATGAATTAACTGGCAGGGGATGTTTCTGGTTTGTTTTTGTTGTTTTTTTTTTAAATAATGATATGGTCATTTTCCATTTCTTGGAGAGTCACTAAATCTCCTCTGCAATATAATTACTGGCCCATAAAATGTAAGTGTTGGGTTTCCTGGCAGTGTGTAGCAATTCAGCATAAAGCACCAGCATACAATAGATTTATTTTTTTAATCAAATGTGGCTGGTCTCAAGAGTTCGTGGTCATGTTAGAGAAACTCTAAAGAATAGGAAGGAAATCTTATAAGAATCATTTGCAGCTTGGACAGATGTTCTAACAATAACAAAGGTTTTACATGGTATACTGACTTTGTATCATTTCAGTTAATTTCCTAGCACCCTTTTGTTCACTGATTATTTAATATTCAGGAATATCTTGCCTACGGGAGAGTTTGTCACATGTGAGTGCCAAATAACTTGCTAAATCCTCATTAATGAAAATACAAGACTTATCGGATACAGGACACGACCCTGAATTTTACTTTTATTGAAAGGCAGGCAGTTCCTAAGTTACTCAAGGCACAGAAAAGCCTTTGTATTCTGGTGGTATTCATTACATTGTTTTTGATTAATGTGGACATTATTCTTGTTTTTGTATCTGAGAACACAAGTTTAAAATCTAAATCATGATTCCCATTGTTGTTGTAGTTATACTCACAACAATAGACTTATGCTGTCCCTTCTGTTTTTGCTCTGATTTTCAAACACCCAAAATTGTGCTAGATGCCTTACAGAAACAAGTAAAGACAGTCATTGCTCTGAAATGTTGTGGTTCAGACATGATTCAAGAAGTGAGAGCCATAGACCGACAAGGGGAAATTAGGGAAAGGAAGGACAAAGGTTGCAATAATATACAGCTACTCTGTAAGACGTGTGTCTTGGCCATTACTTTACCTTAGTTCATTGAAGAAGTGGAGGTTAGAGGAGACAGGAAAGGAGAAAAGTTGGGGCTCAATTGTACCAGTTTGGGCTGAATGATGTAGGATCTTGAAATTGATAGTCTGTTTGAGCAGCGCAAATGCAGAACCTTTCACAAAACGTAATAAAGGCTTCCAGAATTCATGATGATAAAGGTTAGGTTGAGAATAATAGACTAAAACTGTTCCAGTGATTATATCAAAGTAAAATGGGGGTGGAGGGTGGAGTGCTCAAGCTAGTCAGCAGAGCAGGTTCCTGTTTGAACCAGTCTCACCCTTGAATTTCTCAGCAAGTTTCTCTGCAGTTAATGGCACAAACACTAAGGCTAGGAAATGCTGGTATATGAAGGTGCCCCTTGGATTTGCTAGTATAGAAGTCCCTTGCCAGCCTGCTGGGATATCTTCTCAGGGCTACCTGGCTATAACTATCTACACCCAAGCACCGCTGCCATGATTCTCTTCATGTAGATCCCTATCTACAGTAGGTAATAGTGTGCCAGTAAAGGAGAAACTTCCCAGACTACTACAAGTTGGTAAAAAGGAATGGAAGAAATTTCTTCCAAGGAATGTTTTACCGGATTCTTTATAAAATCTTGTTAAAAACATTAACCCAATGTGATGGTTATTTGATGGACTTGAGAGGACTATCGTCCTCTCCAGATTACACTTCTGAAAGTTTTTGATCTTTAATATTCATCAAATGAAAATTTCCTTTTTGGTTAGAGGGTTTTGTTTTGGTTTTTTTGCTTGATAAACATAGAGTAGAACCCTCCATGGACATGAATGTGATGAAAGATCAGAAATAAAGACAGGATTTTAAGACCTGTTTCAAATGACCAAAGATGCAGCCTTTTTTTAAGGACACAGAGTAGGTGTTTCCAATGTTCCAGCAGTGCCCAAAGTGTTTCCAACCATTACAGAGCTTGTTTGCATATGTTACCAGAACAACACCACAAAGATGCCAGTTTGAGCTTTACTATAAAATGTTAGAACTGTAAACTGAATTTGCATTTCTTTAAATTTCAGACAATTGCAGGGAGTAACTATCTTAATTTTATACAGACCATCTCAAAACTTGCATTTAGAGAAGTTGATCTAGGGGCAACTGCAACTAGTTTCAACCACAAGCCAATGTTTGGAGTTGACCTTGGTGAATAATCTGGTTGTCAGCTACTAAAACCAGATTTTTGGACCTGAGACCTAATTATAACTAGACTCCAGTTAATTAACCTAGAACAGGGAGAACAGAGAGAATCCTTGGATCCATACTTTATTGTATGGTTATTTCTGAACAACTTCATCTCTTGGTCTTCTGTTTTTGAAAATTATATTCTTAAAAGAGGCTCTGGAATTGTGGAACTAAACTTCCATTAATATATCACATTCACCACAGGAATAGGTTCTGTGTTCTGGTGAAAATTTTGAATATGGAATAGACTCATTAAGTTTTAACTGAGTGGAAAGTTTCATAGGTATCCATTGACCATGTTTCTAGTGAAGGTCTATACCATAACATTATTTAAGGCTTGAATTGTCATTTTAGCTAGCAATTTGTTGTTCCTGTTGTTTGCTCATTAAGATTTTTTAATATATATATATAACTTTTTCAATTGTTTAAGTCTGACAAATCGGTACACTGGTAACCTGGTATAGCTTTATTTTGAAAATTGTAATCTGTTCAGTTTAGGTGTGCTGTGCTCTTAACTTCTCTCTCTCAACTTTTATTTTGTCCTGCAGGGGATACTTGATGGGTTAGTGCCTTGTGTGATATATGCAAGCACAAAATGGATTTGCTTCTCTTCATGAAGAGCTTAAAAACAAGCAATCTATAAAAAAAAAAAAATACTGTCCACCACAAGAAGACACAAGAAAGGTCTAGTTATGCGAATCAGCAAGTGCAAGAAGTGCTTCCAACTGTCTCCTTTCATTAATAAAAACCGTCATTACCCGTGGTTGGTGTATTTTTAAAACGGGGTTTTATCACTTGTCTATTTCTATCTTTAAAAAAGAAAGTTACTGAACTGTTACTTAGCTTTAGGTATGAATTTGTATCTTGAAACAATTCACTATAAAATGTAAAACTGGTATTTTTCCCCTCTGCATTTTTTCCCTTAACCTGACTGAGGTATTGGACAGACGTTTTACAATTCCTGATTTTAAAGTGTGCAGCACTCTCTGGCCTTTTTTCTGTGGCCTGCCCCATACCAAGTTTATACCTGGAGAGAAGTCTTTTGGTGATACTTTACTATCAAACACACTGTGTCTAGTGAAGTTATTTCTAAGGCACCTGTTGCCTTGATATTCATGGCAACGCATTAACAAATCCAGATGTACACTGGATACAACACTGTGAGTGCATTTCTTTTTGGAACAGTGTATGAAAGGAGTCAAATTAAACATGTTTTCTACTAAACCACTTGCATTTTGTGTGATTTCTAAAACAGTAATTTTTGCAAATTGTACACAGTCTATTCTATAGGTTCTGCAGTAACAATACTACTACACAATGGTTGTTTACTTAATGTATCTTTTATTGGATAGTGATATTGTAAACTGCAGGGGGCAACTGTAGCTGTCTCTCCTAAGCTCACCAGAGCCTGCGGTGAAATGGTACACCATTGAATTACTTTGGAAGCTTCTGCTTCTGTTTTAAATTGGCTAGGGACAGACACTAACTTATATTTTTTTATTAGTGTGTATACACATGAGAGGAAATATTAACAATTAGAGTAATGAGATTATTTGTGCAGGTCATGCATTGCTTTTCTCTGTGGGAAGAAACAGTCTTTGTCAAAAATCACAGCAAGGTCCTTTACCTAGTCACAAGTGTTCAAAGTTCTATGTTATCCTCTGAATTCAGAAGTTAATTCTGTCACTGGGAGCCATAGTTCTGTTTAGGACCTCAGTATGCCTACGTTTTTAAAGATCTTGCTGTTTGACATCTACTACCTGACATGCCATCGTGAGAAGCAGACTTTCCACTCATTCCTTCTCATATGTTTATGTAATCATTGCTACATTCATTTGTTTTGCTACACCTATGTCTATAAGGAGAGTTGGTGTAGTTAGTGGGTTTTTTTTTTAAAAGCGATGAGTGAGTTCTGATGGAAGCTTATGATCACAGGAATTCTGCATTTTCCCAGGTGTGTTGTTTGTATCCCTCCTGGTACTGACAGTCTTAGTGGGGAAAGTACTATTTACAGGACCACTACAGACCAGCTATTATCCTCTGCTGTAAGGAGAGAGCAGAAAGAAACAGATGAGGAGAATAATAAGAGAGGTTTCAGAGTAACAGCCATGTTAGTCTGTATTCGCAAAAAGAAAAGGAGTACTTGTGGCACCTTAGAGACTAACCAATTTATTTGAGCATGAGCTTTCGTGAGCTACAGCTCACTTCATCGGATGCATACCGTGGAAACTGCAGCAGACTTTATATATACACAGAGAATATGAAACAATACCTCCTCCCACCCCACTGTCCTGCTGGTAATAGCTTATCTAAAGTGATCATCAGGTGGGCCATTTCCAGCACAAATCCAGGTTTTCTCACCCTCCACCCCCCCACACAAATTCACTCTCCTGCTGGTGATAGCCCATCCAAAGTGACAACTCTTTACACAATGTGCATGATAATCAAGTCGGGCTATTTCCTGCACAAATCCAGGTTTTCTCACATCCCCCCCACCCCCATACACACACAAACTCACGTGGGGGGGATGTGAGAAAACCTGGATTTGTGCAGGAAATAGCCCGACTTGATTATCATGCACATTGTGTAAAGAGTTGTCACTTTGGATGGGCTATCACCAGCAGGAGAGTGAATTTGTGTGGGGGGGTGGAGGGTGAGAAAACCTGGATTTGTGCTGGAAATGGCCCACCTGATGATCACTTTAGATAAGCTATTACCAGCAGGACAGTGGGGTGGGAGGAGGTATTGTTTCATATTCTCTGTGTATATATAAAGTCTGCTGCAGTTTCCACGGTATGCATCCGATGAAGTGAGCTGTAGCTCACGAAAGCTCATGCTCAAATAAATTGGTTAGTCTCTAAGGTGCCACAAGTACTCCTTTTCTTTTTGCAAATAATAAGAGAGCGAGCCCAGAGGTGCAGTACACCATGCAGAAACGGGAGTAGTTTGGTTCGTAAGTCCTCAGTACAGGACTGAACCTGGTTCAATTCTGGCATGGTCTTGAGAGGTTTCTTCTGTGAGGTAGTGTACCAAACAAATTGTAAAAGAGCAGCATTGCTGGATCTCATCTGACTCTTCAATTATGTGAAGGGGTGTGTGTTGTAAAATTGTATGCTGTTTACTGTACACACCACCAGATGGCTTCATGGGCCTGGTTTTGGGTTATTCAAGAAAATGTATGAATGAGTGGAAGAGAATTATACAAAAAAAATTTGGCTTTACCTTTTGTCTAGACTGCCCCATCCTAAAGCATATGATGGGAGAGAACCTGTCAAGCGGACTGAAAAGCTGCATGAAGGTAAAGATATTGATAACAGGAAAACATCTCTCCATAGTGGGGAAATAAAGATATGGCTATTTACTAGCTTGGTAAACACAGCACTTTCAATCTGCTTTGTGATAGAAACTTCGTGGCAGTCAAATTAAGAACTCCTGTGTTCAGATATATTTAAAAAAAAAAAAAAACTGTCCCTCCTAGGCTGGTGTGCTAGAAATAGACTTGAATTTGGAACTCTTGCATGTCAGCACTCCAAGCAAGGTGAGAGGTATTAGACTGGTAATAGTGCTGAGAATTAAACATACACTGCCTAGAAGTGTGGTTATCAAGCTTGGGCACTGTCCTGACTTCCTTTTTTCTACTACCCCAGCCTTCTGAGAATTAAATATCAGAAGTAGAATATGGTGTATTTGTGGCATTGAATCAACCCTCTGAAGAACAAGTTTGTGGTTTGAAAGATATGCTGATAAAGACATTACTCTTTGAAAAAAATATGCCTAGTGAGGTATTGTTTTAAAATGAATAACTCGCTGCTCAACAATACCATGGCAAAATGTATGGAGTAATGTTATATGTAAAATTCTGAATCCCCCCACCCCCATATGATGTTTCTAGAATATGTTCAAGACCAGATGGCTTTGCCTATGTAAAACTGTTAAATAGGTCTGTCCTAAACAAAGTAATGGGGCTTTGCCTCAGTTTTTGTACAAGCAGTAAACCTGACCATCAAGACAGCAGGGGGAGGAGATGGCAGAAAGAGAACAATTTGCATTTTAGCCAATGCCAGTGAGGGTGGAATGAGTGTGGTGGTGGTGAAGGAAGCTCCATGCTCTGTCACCTTGCTCAAAGCTTGAATAAAGTTTACACGGAGGGGTAACCTGCAGAAGAATGTTTCAAAAGGTTTACTGGTCTATAAAGCTACGTTGCTATTTTTTTGTATCTTAGCTTGAGCAGAGCTAGAGCACATATGTCTGTCAGCTGGGCATCACCCCTCAGCACCAAGTGCAGACATAGCCTCCTGGCTCTTCTAATCTTATTTCAGGCTCCCCCGTGGCTTTGCCCTTCTCTGTTCCCTTGACTACTCCTGTCTTCTCTCTTAGTTACCTGGTATCACTAAGTTTTTATAGCTCCACTCTCCTCATTATCTCTGTAGTGCTTCTTGCTTGAATCATTCTGAAAACAACAGAAATCCAAGTGCATCGTACAATAATACACTGGAGATCTAACAGAGACACTGCAGTGTCCAAACTCCTTTCCTGTAGCACTGTCTCTTTAAAAAGTAGACTTTCCTTTCCTGGTCTTGGACTTAAAACATCTTTTAATTGATAAGCTGAAAGTTCTAAAATTTCTTTGCAATGTAATTTAGTTGTTTTTAAAAAAATCAATTGAACATTTAATGGGCATGGATAGCATATCACTGTACATAATGGAACAAACAGAGAAAACTCATAAAGTAACAGAGTAGCATACACAGCACATAAGGCATAGCCAGGAAATGCACACATTCAGAAACGCAGGAAAAGGAAACTTCCTTCAGGCTTCCTTCTTAAAGATATCAAAACATAAGAACTGCTACCCTAGGTCGTATCCCTGGTCCATCTAGCCTAGTATCCTGTTTTAGTCAGTGGTTGATAGAACTGCAGGGGGTGTACAGATCAGAGCCTATTTTGGAGTGATCCAACCCTGTCTTCCACTCCTGGTTTCTGACAGAATTTTAGGGACAGCCAGAGCACAGGGTTGCACCCCTGACCATTTTGCCTAATAGCCATTGATGGACCTATCCTCCATGAACTTATCTAGTTCTTTTTTGAACCCAGTTATACTTTTGGCCTTCACAACATCCCCTAGCAATGAGTTCCACAGGTTAATTGTGTGTCAGGTGCCCACCTAACCATTGAAATCACTGTTTCTTGCACAGGTAAAACAGAATGATTATGTTAAACTAGATTAAATCAATATTTGGATTTGTAACCTAGTCAGGAGAAATTTAAATAAACATCAGCTCCCGCCAACTTAGATCTTTTCTTCTTTTGGTACTTGTTGAAGTCGTAGCTCATATCATTGATGGCCCTAAACAGATTCTCCTCTCGCCTAGCACTGGTGTAATTCCAGAGTAAACTCTATTGAAATCAATGGAGATGTGCCAGTGTAAGAGGAGAATAAGCCCTGTAATTTTTCAAATGAATTTAACAGCCATGCTTAATTATGGTTTAAATTAGGTTGTGGCTGAAACAGCCTCATCTGACATGCTGTGGATCAGCAGTGTGGACAAAGCCAATTGTAGAAATTGTCTCAAAACTCATGCTGTAGTTAAGGTATCCCACTTAGGTAAATCAGAGATGGCCACTTTGCCTCAGCAAACCATGGCTTCAGCCATGACAGCTCAAACTATGCTTAAGCATTGTTGTTAAATTTTGTTGAAAGCTCTGTGTAGATTGAACCAGAGAAAGACTGAACCCCAAAACACCCACTACTAAAAACATTAAGACATTATTCAGTGACTGGCAGAGATAATCCTGTTGAAAATAACATTTTTTGTTTTACTTCAAAATTATAAGTGTTTCTGCAGTTGGCCAAATAAAAATATTTTTTCTACCTTCCAGTAACTCTGGCACTACCATCAACCCCACCTCTGCTATTTTTCCAGCCGTAACTTTTCAGCTTTATATAACGTGTGTATCTGCAATATGAAGTGTCAGTCCAAATCCTCGTTGACCACTGGATGGTGCTCACTACAATGCTATTCCCCTGTCTCTGAGAATACAGAGGTGCTTGAGAGAAGAAACTCCTTTAAAAAGTTGTAGAAAAGTACTGAAGGGCAATGAAACAAACACTCTAATACTTTTGTATTTGTTTTACAAAATCCGACAAAATATCAGCATTGTTCATGTATTTAACACGCCATCTTTCTGCTTCTTAAGAGTACAAACATGAGAACAAATTTTCT